ATAATAGTGATAATAATAACATGAGATCACTTGTATTTTGTGAGGAAGCCAATTTTTTTGTCTGATAAATATATGGGACAATTTCAAATTAAACAATTTTCCAAAATATGTGTCTAATTTTTTATTCTTGTATGATAAGCTAATCGAGCAATAATTTAGTAATAAGAAAGAAAGAATAAGATTGTTTGAAACGATAAGTTTATCAAATTCCCCTATATTTGAAGAACTTTTGTTGAAATTAAAAAATATCAATAAAAATTGAAATGTGAAGAGTCGATAAATCTTAAAAAGCTCTATTTGAATTTAGTAATTTAATGTTTGCTTAATTTGTAATTTTAAAATTTCATTTCGATAAAATTAGATTTTTCTATCATTTTGCAAAATTTGATGAGAAATCCTTTTTTTTTTCACCGATCTTTAATTAAATGAATAATTGTTTTAAAAAATCTGTTAGATAAAAATTTTTAGTGTTACCGAAAATTTAAGAATTTATTATTGCAAATTCTATTTGCTTGATCTTTTTTTTAATCTGATATGCATCCAAAAATTCACAATAAAATATACAAATTTGGTGCATAAATTTTATCTTTAACTTATGCATGCTATTATATTAAAAATTAATAGTTATAATTGAATGATTGAAAACCATTTTATATTCATAACTTTTACAATTCAAATATCATTTCTCATTTATTTACCTGCACTGTGCAAAGCTAATTATTAAAAACTTTTCTTTTGAGAACTTTCCAAAAAAGAAAAACTTCATAATTTAATAATAATTATTATTGAAACACTTTACATCAATGTCTCAAAATGGTTAAAAGAAAAAAAAGCATGAAAATAAATAAATAAATAAATTGTTAATTTAGGAGTACACCTGGTTTTCTGGTAGTAAAATCTGGTCACTTTATCGACCATCCTCTTCGCTTTCAAGATTATTACCGCTCAATGCAATACATTTACATTTCTTCACTTTGATCACTTTTCGTTTCAATTCTTTCGGATTTTTCCTCGGACAATCCAATTTTACCTACTTGTGCATAGAAATTATTAAAGATTACGAAATTTCATCATAAGTTAAACTTTTTTGTAGAAAAAAATAGTTTTACCGGATCCGACTGTTTCTCAAGATTGAATTTTTAGTTTAATAATTGAATTTAGTATTTCAAGATTAAATTTTTCGTATTTTATATTAAATAAATTCCTGATAACATAGAGCTATTTTTAATGCTTATGTTGAATTGCATTTTTTGCGCTTATTTTTAATGTTAAGAAAATTTTGCAGCATTATTTGTAAAATAGCATAAAAAGTGGACAATGCATACCTCAACAGTATCCCATTCAGCTGGCCTACACACCGAACAACTTTGAAACATAGCATCCAATTTCAATTTCCGCGGCCTCAAACGTGGTATGAAGTAGGAGGAACAGGTTCCATGACAAAATCTGTTATGTACTACCTACAAATTTATCATTATCATATATATA